AACTGAATTGAGAATCTTCGCGAAACGACGCGACACACACACACACGTACACACATTCGTGTAGAGTTTAATAAAATAGTTGTTATCATATTTTAAATATAACCGGAAATAGTTAAACTGATAGTAAAAGACAAGAGAGAAAAACTGCTGTTGTTGTTGTTATCAAAGGATCCGCTGTTGTGCGGTTTTTTAAACTGAAAACGATACCTACAAATTAACCGCTGTTTCGTTCGAGAATTTTATTAATCGTCGTGTTTGTCGTGTTTGTTTGTTTGTTAAAGTGAGATTGATAATTGTGATTTTTTAAATAAGGAAGTTAGAACTTCCGTTTTCAAAGAGAGAGAAAGAAGAATACCTGTGGATTTATTTTATAAAATCGCGACATAAATGAAATTCAAAGATTTTCGTTAATAAGGAAAATAATTAGGAAAAATCAAACAATAAGAACAACCGATTGTTATAAGTAGTAATAATAATAATAATAAAATGTATAAAACGGTGAGACACGGGGAAAATTCTCTACAGTATAAAATCCTAGCACAACAGGAAGAAGGTATCACACACGTTAAATGTCGGAAAAGTACAAGGGGTAAAACAGCTGGCATCGTCATCATTATTTTATTTCTCGTTTGCGGAGTTATAGCAACAGCAGTTCTCGTTCCCCTCATACTAACAAATGATTTTATCACGCTGACGGGAACGTTTCAAAAGTAGGTTTTCCTCCCCCCGTGGAAAAATCATTTTTTTCCCGTTTTCCCTTTTATTTTTTCTCCTAATCCTTTCCCTTTCTCTCTCTCTCTCTCTCTCTCTCTCGATCCCTTTCTCTTTCTCTCTTTTTTTTTAAAATCTAAAATAGTTGTTTGCGTGCCTATTATTATTATTATTATCATTATTATTATTCATGCTATTAAAATTATATTGCATGCAAATCGTTGGCGTGCTAGGAAAAGATTTTTTTTTTTTTTTATATACACGTATATGCATATATTTTTAATTTTTTTTTATTGGCGCCATTACGGTTTTTTTTTTTTTTTTAAATTTATTTTACGGTACGTATACGTAAATCCCTAAGATTTATTAATAATAATAATAATAATAATGATAATAATAATAATAGTAATAATAAAATTTATTTTCCGTTGTAGTAGCTGCGGATTTTTTTTTTTTTTTTAAATAGGTTTAAAATTTTAATTAAACTTTCTTAAAATTTATTTATATATATTTATTATTATTATTATTATCGTTTATTTTCCCACGGATGGGACGGGAGGGGAGGGGAGGGGGGGAAATGAGATGAGGGTCGTATGAAATTTGATTGCTTGATCGATACGAACGAAATTGTTTTTTTTTTTAACTTAAAAAAAAGAGATTTTGAGAGGATTGAAAATATTTAAATGCGGGTCGGGGTCCCCCATCATCTCCTCCCCTCCCCTTTTTAATGATTGTGGTAAAATACAAGAGTGACAATTTGGCGGTTAAATGAAAAACCACACGAAAATTTTTTTTAATAATAATAATGATGATGAATAACAAAGTGAAGAGAGAGAGAGAGAAATCGAAGGAAATGTAATAACATAAGGAACGATTCAATTTCTCGGAAAAATTTTATTAATGACGTCACGAATGTTCAAGCACGGATTCCTAAGGGAAAAGATGTGGAAAATTCTAGAACGAATGCCGGTCAAAGTATAAATGATTAAAATTGTACGAAAATAATGATGATGATATTTCTCGTATTCTTATATCGAACGTATTGAATTAATAAAAAAAAAAAAAAACCGGAAGAAGAAACGTTCGAAGAAAAATTATTTCCGGTTGGGAAATTTTTTTTTTTTTTTTTGCACATGATAAAGGGTTTAAATCACACTTTTCTTTTTCCTTTTTTTTTCTTTTCTTTTCTTCCTTTCAATTTTTCTTGTGATTTCCCGTAGGTTTCTAGTAGTAATTTCCTCTCATTAAAATCTCGGTTACGTCACAAAAAAGAAAAGAAGAGAAAATTTTCCTTTTTTCCTTTTTTTTTCCTTTTTTATTATTATATAACATTCAGAAAAGCGTGAAAAATTTAATTTTCTTTTTTTATTCTTTCCATTTTTTTTTTATTTTTCTTAAATGAATGTTCAACATGGCGTAAAATTTTTTATTTTATAATGAGAATGACGTACGACGTTTGTTGTTTGTTATGTTGTTTGTTGTTTGTTGTTTGTTTTTGTCGTAATTTGATTTTTGTGTACGAATTTGATTTTTTCATTTTGGCCATTTTTGAAAAAAAAAATTGTATACATCGTTTTCCTTTTAAATTAACGGATTTTTTCTCTGCGTGAAAAAAAAACCCGCGTGATATAATAATAATAATAATAAGTCCAAAACGTATTTTCCTCCCCTCTCCCCTTCTCCCTCCCTTGTTGCCTTATTATTATTATTATTAATAAATAAAATTCGTTAATAAAAAATTAGGATTCGTTAAAAATTATAAAAAAATCCGTTTTAAACCAAAAAAAAAAAAATTTTTCTGGAATTTTACTCTGGAGCATCTGGAAAAGTGAACGGGATTAAAAAGTGAAAAAAAAAAAAAATAGAAAAAAAGGTAAAAGGTAATGAAGGAGGTGGGGAGAGGAGTGAAAGGGAAAAGAAAATTGCTGAGAATAGGGGGAAAAAAAAATTAAAAATAAAAAATTCCTGGAATAAAGCGGGGGGGGGGGGGGAAGAAAAAAATGAATAAATAATAAATTTTTTTTTTTTTTGGAGAAAAAAAAATAAAAAATTTATAATTCACTGAAAAATTTGGAGTGGGTGGAGACAGGGAGGAGGGAGAGTAAGGAGGAGGCTGGGAGGAGGGAGAGTAAGCAGGAGGCAGGGAAGAGGTAGGGGAAGGAGGAGGGAGTGGAAGGGAAAGGGAAAAGAAATTAATTTAAAACGCTGGACTTATGATTTTTTTTTCGTTTAAGGTTTTCCGTATCGACCTTAAGAAGATCACATACCGGAAATCACGTGGTTGTCATAGCAAAAAAACCACACGGATGGAATTCTTCCAGGCAAAACGTCATACCAAATTCACCAAAAACGACGAAGGCGGTACGACGACGACGGCACGGACAACAACAGCAACAAATTCATCATCATTATCATCATCGGTTTATCACCCGAATAATAATAATAAAAAACGAAGGTGATTATCGATCAAATACCTTTTTTTTTTTATTTTGACGTCATCATCACATGAAACCTTTCGTCGGTCGGTTCGTACGGTTAAATTTCATTTCGACATTTTTTTTTTTTTCGAAAAAAAAAAAATTAATTTAAGCCGACGGATAATGAGATTCTGTAGAAAATTACTTTCTTTATTTTCTTTTGACTTTTTCTCCTTCCACGTCTTTTTTTTTTAATAAAAAAAAAAAAAAAGTTTCTAATAAAACAACGTCAAATAATTACGTGTTTTTATACAAACGTTCGATAAGATTACAATTTTTTTTTAATTTCAGAGATTTTGTTTGTTTTGTTATACAAAGTGTTTGTTTGTTTGTTCTGTTTGTTGTTTGTAAAATCAATTTGTTTAAGGGAAAAAGGAAAAATTTAATGAAAATGTTTTTGTAAATTTCCGACAGCAAACAACCGATTCGATGGAATTGACCACTATTAAATATGGCGAAGATGTATCAAAATCAAATAATAATAATAATGACGTGGCAAAAGACGCGGCGGCGACGACGACAATATCACAAAAAAAAAAATTAATTATTCCAACGTCGACAGAATTGAAAATTTTTACGACTCCGACACCTGGACGACGACGACACGAGGAGGAAGTGGAGGAAACGACAGCAGTAAGTCGGAAAATTTTTTTTTTTCTCCTTCTTCTCCTTCTTCTTTATTAAAAATTTTTTTTTTTTTAATACTAAAAGGTCAAAACTAAGGTCACGTCACCGCCGATACCGATACCTCCTCTACTACCCAAATCGGTTATAAGAGTACAAAGTAGTTATCCGAATTATTATGCCGAAGCGGGTGTGACGCCATCGACGGAAATATCACCATCGTGGTATCAAAATCGTAAATGGAGTTTCGAAGCTCCGGCATCGTTCATTAGTTGGTCTGTAAGTGTCTAACGATAAATCTGCTGACACGAGAGAGAGAGAAAGAAAGAAAGAAAGAAAAAAAGAAAAAGAGAGAGAGAAAGAAAGAAAGAAAGAAAGAAAGAAAAAAAGAAAGAAAGAAAAAGAGAGAGAGAGAGAAAGTGAGAGTTAGAGAGAGATAGAGAAAGAAAAAAAGAAAAAGAGAGAGAAAGAAAGAAAGAAAGAAAAAAAGAAAAAGAGAGAGAGAAAGAAAGAAAGAAAGAAAAAAAGAAAAAGAGAGAGAGAAAGAAAGAAAGAAAGAAAGAAAGAAAAAAAGAAAGAAAGAAAAAGAGAGAGAGAGAGAAAGTGAGAGTTAGAGAGAGATAGAGAAAGAAAAAAAGAAAAAGAGAGAGAAAGAAAAAAAGAAAAAGAGAGAGAGAGAAAGAAATAAAGAGAATGAGAGAGAGAGAGAGAGAGAGAGAGAATGAGAGAGAGAGAGAATGAGAGAGAGAGAGAGAATTAATTAATTTTGTGTGTTTTCCATATAGAAAAATAGAATTTCGAACAATCCACTATCGACGGCCGTCGGAGGTTTGTGTGCCGTTGCCGTTATAATAATAATGATAATCGTTTTGATAAAGAGTTTACCGGGACGTCGAAGATATGTAGAGGTAATTAATAAATTTATTTATTTATTTATTTATTTTTAATAATTATTTATTTATTAATTTTTGTTTGTCACGACAGAAAAAATCAAATTCCGAAACGAAAGAAGAAGACAAAACGAGATTGTTGAAACCTTCGGCTCGAACATCGGATGAAGAATAAAATAAAATGGCGTCGTTTTTATCACTCTCTCTCTCTCTCTCTCTTATCACTATTGATTTTCAAACGATTGATTTATACATAACAAAAAAAAAAAAACTTATTTATTTATTTATTTATGTTTTTAATTAATTAGATTAATAAATAATAATCATCGTATATATTTATACTAAATTGTATATTACTCTTAATAAATGAATGTGTCTTTTAATAAATTATTATATATATACATAAATAAATACATAATAATGATAATAATTATACGTATGTGTGGATAATGTCGTTATTAAGCTACTATTATTATTATTATTAATTTTTTTTTGATTTAATTAAATGTAAAATGATGATGATGACGATCGGTAATCATTTTTTTCTTGTTCATTAAAAACAAAAATTTATTTTTTATTATTATATTATTATTATTATTATTATTATTATCATAGCAGACGAACACGTTAAAATATCAACTGTATTATTATTATTATTAATTTTAATAAAAGAGAAAAGGTAAAAAAAAGAAAAAAGTAAAAAAAAATTTTACACGAAATTAATTTTTATTCAAAATAAATTTTGATTATACGTATATATAAATATAAATATAACCTTTGACCTTTGCATAATGTAAATTAATGATGATAATGATAATAATTATTATTAAAACACTTTTAAGTAATTTAAATAAATAAAAAATTAAATATTTGTATAATAAATGTGAAAGTCGTTAGTAAAATGCATAATAAATTTGAGCTTTTTCTTATTCTTCTTCCTCCTATTATTATTATTATTATTATTAATAATATTTCACTTAATTTATAAATAATAATAATAATAATAATAATAATAATAATAAATGTAATCGATTAAAAAAAATAAATAAATATACAATATTATGCATGAATAATAAAAAAAAAAAAAAAAAACTTAATAATAATTTTAAAAAATTATCTGTGATGATTTAATTATTAAGAAATAAAATAAATAATAATAATAATAATAAATATATTTTTAAAAATTTTATTTTTTTGTTGGTTTTGTTATTTTTTTTAAAACCTTTCCATGTTTTTATTTTATTTTATTAGTTAAAAAGAAAATTATTAAGAAAATAAAAAGAAGAAAAAGAAGAAGAGGGAAAAGTACAAAAATTATGGATGGAGATATTTTTTTTCTAGTGAATGAATGAATGAATGTATTCATTCGTGACGTAACGTGAGAATTATATAATATTAAAACTAATTAAAAAAAAAAAAAACGATGAAGAATATTTAAAAAAAAAAAAAGAAAGAAAAAAAATTTTTTTTTGTTTACTAAGTAAAAAGTTAAGGATTTAAATAGCCATTTAAAAACCATTTTGCTGATTTTGGCGCACTGTTGCCAACTGTTGCCAACATCAAACTGTAAAAAATTTTAACTGATGCAAAGAAACGTACGCTCGATTCGTTAAATTATTTGGGGATAAAAGAAAAAAAAGTTATTTTACGGTTTTTTTTTTTAAATTTAAACGAATTTTTTTTTTTTTGTGAATTAAGTATTAAGTAATTTTTATTTATTATTTATCCATGTGAAATATTTTAATCCCTTTTTTTCTTATTTAAAAAAAAAAAAAAAAATGAATTTAAAATAATGATAGGGTGCGTTGTTGGTTCTTCTTATTTAAAACGAGCCAATTTTTAACATGCTATTTGGCGGGAATATCATAGCTGGAACGTAAGGTAGCACATATAAGGCCATTTGTATAAAATTTTAATCGAATATTTTGGGTAAGTTTATTATAATCAATTCATTATCCATTATTTTTTATTGTTTTCACATAATGGATGTAGTATTCGTTAAAAATTAAACTTCTCAAAAGTGTTTTTGACAATATATATCACAAACATATGAGACGCTTTGAATAGTTTTTTTATATAATTTTTTTATGTGAAATCGTTTAAAATTAATATAAAATCTCATTGAAAAACAATAAAGACAAAGTATATTTTATATTTTGTAATTTATTGCAAGAATTTATTACCAAACAACCTGTTGAGGGTTGTTATATTGTAGCCAGGAGGTTAACCGGTTTTCAAAACGTTTTTTGAGTTATTTTCCTTTAAAAAAATTTATTTTTCAATGTTTTCTTTTGTATTTTCAAACCTCAGAAATACTGCAATGCTGATTTTCTTTTAACCACAACAAAAGCATACTCATCATAATTAATTTTAATAAAAAAGAATTCCAACAAAACTTTGCAACAAAAATGAAAGTTTTCTTATTTGAAAGTCATTTTAAAATATAGTTACTTTAATTTGTTTATCAGAATAAGTCACATACATAATCATGGAAACTCCAAATATACCTACATTCACAAATCGAAGAAGTACAAGAAGTATACTGACAGAAATTCCACCCAGGATGGGCCTTATGGTTGCACATGGAAATGAAAATCCTCGAAATCCGACTACAACTTTAGGTAATTAATATTAACTTTGTAGTTTATTTTAATCATGTACCTGACAATGTTTAAATGTAACCTACAAGATAACATGATTGAAAAATGTTTGTTAACATATAAGTTCCAGGAGTTCCATTTAATGTCAATCGATCTCCAAGCCTTACGACTTCTGCACAATCACCAGAAGAATTTGTTATACAACAAAGAGGAAGAAGGCGTTTACCAGTGACATGGAGTCCTGACATAGATGCGACTAAAAGAGAAGGACCTGGAATCAAAGATAGAACTCCTGTCAAATCTGTTTTAAAAGATAGCCCAATGAAAAGTTCAGTAATATTAAGATCGAGTCCGAGGAAAAGACTACTTTTAAATGATCCCAAAGAATTATGTTTAAGTAGTCCTGAAAAATTAACTAAAAAGGTATTGTGAGAATAAAGGAGTATGTATACTCATGAAAATGAAGGAGTTTTTATTTATATAAAGAGATGCCATTTTAGGTTTCACCGACAAAAAAACTAAGATCAGACAAATCATCAAATTCGCTTTTTTCTGGCAATCAAAATAATAATAATAATAATAATAATAACATGCCAGGACCATCATCGACATTTCAATCTGCATTAAAAGGATTATCACAAGAACAATTGATAAAAATATTTGAAAATGTTCTCATGAAACATCCTCACTTAGAAAGTGTAAGTACATATAAAATTTTTTCATTTGGTGTTTTTTATTCTAATTTCTCGAATGACATTTTATAATGAAAAATTATTATTATTATTATTATAGGAAATAATGGAAATACTTCCAGCACCAGACATAAAACCATTAGAAGATAAATTAATATATCTTAAAAAAAATATATTTAAATCATTACCAAATTCAAGACTGACATCTAAAACGGATTCTCCAGCATACAGTCGAGCAGCTACACATGTGGTTGCATTTAAAGTACTTTGAATTATTTTTCCTCCCTGATTTGAAATGATTTCCGGTAATAATAATAATAATAATAATAAACAATTGTTGTTTTTCCATAGAAATGTGTTCTCGAACAGGGTAAAACATTACTCGAAAGTCAACATTGGAATTCCGTTTTGGAATATGTTTTATTGGCATGGGGATACGTGAAAGCGACTCCCCTATGGGATAATCCACCTCATAATGCTTCCAGAAAACAATGTTTTAAATCTTTGGCGGCCATGGCAATAAGTGCACTTAAAAAAGGATCGTGGTGTAATGAAGAATTGGAGGATATATACATAAGGTCTATAAGAAAATCAATTTGAAATCCCCCAATAATAATAATGATAATTATTAATTTTGTTTGTTTTGTTTTAGGTTTAAAAAATGTGATTCGGAAAGCGACGACATACAAGCATGTCTCAAACAAATATCATCCCTTCGAAAGATTTGAACTCTTAAGAATTAATACGATATTAATAATAATAATAATAATAATAATAATAATGTTATAATTTTGACTGCCTTGAGAAAGGGGAGGGGAGGGAGGGGGTTGTTAATAGTTGTTTATAAAAAGAAATGAAAATAATTTTTTTTTTTGTTCATATCGAGGGTGTTTATATGGAATTGGTGCGTTCGTTTTTGGAAAACGTTTAAATTTAAAATTAAGTGCCATAAATGAATAATAATAATAATAATAATAATTATTGTTTAAAGTAAATAAGTTTATTCATACATAAGAAAAATGAATTTATTCGTTAAAATAATATTTTTTATTTAAATAATATTAATAATAATAAATCAGTTACTGAAAATGTTTTTTTTTTATTATAAATTGAATTTTTGTTAAAAGTATCTGATTTATTTAAATAATAATAATAATAATAATAATAATAATAATAATAATAATAATAATAATAATAATAATAATAATAATAATAGGTTATAAATTATTTAAGGTAGTTTTATATTTGAATGGATTTTGTTTGTTTGTTTGTTTCTATTCTTTCTATCATTTTCTCTCATTCGTTGATATTTTTTGTTTGTAGTATTTTTTAGTTTGATGTTATTGTTCAGAAATGATTTCAGGAAAATGGAAAATTGTTTTTCCACGTTTTTCCATGAATGAATTTTTTTTTTTTTTTTTTTTAAGGAAACGAACGTACCTTATGGGGTTTAACAAAAAAAATTAATTTTAAATAATATCTGATGGAATTTTATTATTATTATTATTACGTAATATTAAAATTGAATGAAGTTATCAAATAATAATAATAATAATAATAACCGATTGATTAATTTTAGATAAATTTTTTTTCTGCGAGATTTGATTTAATGTTTTTGTTTTTTTGTTTTGTTTTGTTTTGTTTTCTGTCTGTTGTAGGAAACTCCTCGCATTTTTTTCTTTTTATTTTCCTTTCTCGTTTTAAAATGAAAGGAAAATTATAATAATGATAATAATAATATAACAACATAACATAAAGTTTTGGCAATATATATTTAACGCATAATTTTATAAATTTATTATTATTATTATTATTATTATTATTTATAAATTTAAATGAATTAACGACTTGATATGATTTTTTTTTTTTTAAACGTTAACAATGCCTAATTAATTGTGAAGTAATAATAATAATAATAATTGAATTCATTTGGTTCTGTTAAGTCGTTGCAAATGATAATAATAATAATAATATCTTATTAGTTAATTCGTTTAGTTTTAAGTCGCATATATAAAAAAAAAAAAAAAATAAAGTGTTTGTGTGTTGCGTCGCCATGTTGTTTGTCGGCCATTAATAATTAATAATCGATTTAATAATTGTCACCGAAAAGAATTTTCTCGCAAACATTCGAAATAATAATAATAATAATATGAAATTTTTTTTTTAATGTTTTCGTCGACGGGGTTATTAAATAAATAACCGTATAATAATAATATTTTATTAAACATAACGTTATGTTTTATTTAAAAAAAAAAAATAATAATAATAATAATAATAAAAGAAGAAGAGGGTACATAACATGGCTTATTATTATTATTATTATTATTGTTTTTGGTAGTATCGTTTTACGATACGATTTTAGTACAAATTTTTTTTTTTTTTTTTAATTAATTAATTAATATCTCTCTCTTGTGTGGGTTTGAAAGGGTTACATATACAAAAAAAAATTAATTATTATTATTATTATTATTATTATTATTATTACCGATACATTAATTTATATATTTTAAAAAAATAATATTTTTTTTTATCATTAAAAATTATTATTATTATTATGGTTTTTTTTTTTTAATTTTAAATTTTTGGGTAAAGAGAAAAAAAAAGGAAAATTATTGGAGAGTGTAATAATATTGATAATAATATCAATTAATTATTATTATTATTTATTTAATAATAATAATAATATAAAAAAAATAATAATAATAATTTTATATTATTTAAAAAAAAAGTTTTTTTTTATTTTTTTTTAT